GATGGTGCTAGCACATGCCTTTAATCCCAGAACTCGGGAAGCAGAGGCAAGAGGAGCTCTGCAAGTTCAAAGCCAACCTGGTGTTCAGAGTTCCAGGCAGTCAGGACTACACAGTAAAACCGTTTCTAAAAAATAAAATACATTTTACCTGTAGATTGCTTTTGGTAAGACTGTCATTTTTACTGTGTTGATCCTACCTATCCAAGAGCATGGGGGATCTTTCCATTTTCTGACATCTTCTTTAATACAGGTCTTTCACTTGTTTAGTTAAGGTTACTCCCAGATATTTTATGTTCTTTGTGGTGATTGTTAAGGGTGATGTTTCCTTGATTTCCTTCTCAGACCCTTTATTGTCTATATATGGTAGGGCTACTGATTTTTTTTTTAATTAATCTTGTATCCTGCCACTTTGCTGAAGGTGTTTAACACCTGTAGGAGTTCTCTCGTAGAATGTTTCTGGTAACTTGAACTATCGTATCATTTGAAAATAGTGAAAGTTTGACTTCTTCCTTTCCAATTTGTATCCTCTTAATCTCCTTTGTTGTCTTATTGCCCTAGCTAGAATTTCAAGTACAGTATTGAAAAGATATGGAGAGAGTGGATAGCCTTGTCTTGTTCATGATTTTAGTAGAATCGCTTTATGTTTCTCTCACTTTAGTTTGATGTTTACTGTTGGCTTGCTGTATGTGGTTTTTATTATGTTTAGGTATGTTCCTGTTATACCTGATCTCTCTAAGACCTTTATTATGAAGGGGTGTTGGATTTTGTTGAAGGCTTTTTCAGCTTCTAGTGAGATGATTGTGTGTGTGTGTGTGTGTGTGTGTGTGTGTTTGTGTTTTTGTTTATTTTTTCAGTTTGTTTATATGGTGGGTTACACTGACAGAGTTTCACATGTTGAATCATCCCTGCATCTGGGATAAAGCCTACTTGATCATGGTATATGATTTTTCTGATGTGTTCTTGGATTCAATTTGCTAGTATTTTATTGAGTATTTTTGCATCAATGTCCATGAAGGAGATTAGTCTGTAATTCTCTTTCTTAGTGTCGTCTTTGTGTTGTTTGGGTACTGTGGTAATGTAGCCTCATAAAAACAGTTTGGCAATGTCCCTTCTGTTTCCATTGTGTAGAATAATTTAAGAAGTATTGGTATTATCTCTTCTTTGAAAATTTTGTAGAATTCTGCATGGAAACCATCTGGCCATGGGCTCTTTTGGGTTGGAAGCCTTTTGATGACTGCTTCTATTTCCTTAAGAGTTATAGGTCTATTTAAATTGTGGTCTTGATTTAATTTTGATATGTGGGACCTATCAAGAAAATAGTCCATTTTCTTTAAATTTTCCAATTTGTTGAGTACAAGTTTTTGAAGTATGATCTGATGATTGTCTGAATTCCCTCAGAGTCTGTTGTTATGTTCCCCTTTTCATTTCTGGTTTTGTTAATTTGCATTCTCTGCCTTTTGGTTAATTTGAATAAAGTTTTGTCTATCTTGTTTATTTTCTCGAGAACCAACACTTTGTTTCCTTGATTCTTTTTATTGTTTTCTTCTTTTCTATTTATTTGATTTCAGCCCTCAATTTGATTATTTCTTGGCATCTACTCATCTTGAGTGAGTTTGGTTCTTTTTGTTCTAGAGCTTGCAAGTGTGCTATTAAGTCACTAGTGTGAGATTTCTCCATGTTCTTTATTAGGCACTTAGTGCTATGAATGTTCATTTTGGCACTGTTTTCAAAGTATATCCAATAAGTTTGGGTGTGTTGTGTACTCATTTTCATTGAATTCTAGAAAGTCTTTAATTTCTTTATTTCTCCATGATTCAGGGGTAATTCAGTTGAGCACTGCTCAATTTCCATGAGTCTGTGAGCTTTCTGCAATTAGTGTTGTTGTTGAATTATAACTTTAAGCCATGGTTATCCATTAAGATGGGGGGTATTCCAATTTTTTTGTATGGGGTAGATTTTAGAAAAGGGTTCTATGAGATGCTGAGAAGAAGTATATTCTTTTGTGTTTAGGTGAAATGTTCTATAAGTGTCTGTTAAGCCCAGATTATCCATAAGTGATAAAAAAAAATGACATCTTGAAATTCACAGGCAAGTAGATGGAACTAGAAACAATCATTCTGAGTGAGGTAACTCAGACACAGAAAGACAAACATGGTATCTTCTCACTCATAAGTGGATATTAGACATAAATCCAAGGATAATCAACCTACAGTCTTAAGCTCCAGAGAAGCCAGGAAACAAGAACCTTAAGAAGGACATACATGGATCCCTCAGAAAAAGGAAAATAGACAAGATCTCTTGAGTAAATTGGGAGCATGGGGTGATGAGGATAGTGGTAAGAGAGTAGGAATGGCAGAAGGGGAGGAGGGAGGAGAAAATGAGGCATCAGGAAGGTCTAGTTGGGGGAAGGACAGAGAGGGAAAGCAAAGAAAGTGATATCTTGATAGAGGGAGCCATTTTGGGGATAGGGATAAACCTGGAACTAGGAAAATTCCCAGGGATTCAGAGGGGTGACCCTAGCTAAGAATCTAAGCAATAGTGGAGAGGGTACCTTAATTGTGCACTTGCCCTGTAATCAGAGTGATGTCTACCTTAATTGACATCATTGAGCCTTCATATGGTAAGTGATGGAAACAGATGCAGAGATTCACAGCTGAGCACTGGACCTAAGTCCGTGAGTCCAGTTGTAAAGAGGGAGGAGTGATAATATGAGCAAAGCAGTCAAGACCATGATGGGAAAAAACTCAGAAACAGCTGACCTGAGCAAGTGGGAGCTCACTGACTCTGGACTGACAGCTGGGGAAGCTGCATAAGACAGAACTAGGCCCTCTGAATGTATCTGACAGCTGAGTGGCCTGGGCAGTTTGTGGGGCCACTAGCAGTGGAAAACGTATTTATCCCTTGTACATAGCTTATTCCCTATGAAGGGATACCTTGCTCAGCCTAGATATGGGGTAGGGGTGGCCTTGGTCCTGTCTAGAGGGATGTAACAGAGTTTGATGATTCCCCATGGGAGGCCTCACCCTCTCTGAGTAGTAGATGGGGGTAAGGTGGGTAGAAAGTGGGTTGAGCAGGAGGACAGGAGGGAGTGAAAATAGGAATTTGTTTGTAAAATAAAATTGCTTTTAAAAAAAAACCTTCTTGGACAAAGAATAAGAATACGAAGAAGAAGAAGAAGAAGAAGAAGAAGAAGAAGAAGAAGAAGAAGAAGAAGAAGAAGAACAAGAATCCCCCTGACTCTTAATATTACCTGATATTAAACCAGATAATAAGTGGCACTTGGTGGCATACTCATTTTATTCCATCGTTTTGGAAGCAGATATAGGTGAATCTCAGGAAATTTGAGGCCATCATTGTATATAAAGGGAGTTCCACAGAGAAACGCAGTCTTGAGAACATAAAGAATAAACCCCACCAGATATCAATACAACCAAAAAGAAATAACTGACTGATACAGTCATTTTAAAAAGTTTTGTCCAGGGCAGCATGGACAAAAGCACGCCGAAGGCAGAGGCAGACAGATCTCTGAGATTTTTAAGGCCAGCCTGGTCTACAATGGGAGTTCCAGGAAAGCAAGGGTAACAATGAGAAACCCAATTAAAAAAATAATTACTTTGTTTCTATTTTTAACTATTTCACACATTTCACACACATAATTATACAGACACACACTCTGTGTGTGTTTGTGTGTGAACGCCTCAAATACTGACTATTCTTACTTCCTACCTATCTCATATCCTGGTGCACACCTCCAACTAATCTTTATGTTGTGTTCATCTCTATTGATTTTGCTCGGATCCACTGAGATTGACCATCTGTGAGACTGTGGTTTTGGAGCCTGCTGGGCTGAGCAGAGGACTGCAGCTAAAGACAGTTATTCTTCTCCTACAATCCATCCATAGACAACATTGGAGGGGTAAAGGGTGGGGGGTCCTGTGAGCCTGTCCCTTTCCTAGACTGACTATGGTCTAGTGTGAGGTCAATGCAGGTCAGTACACTTGCTATTGATTACTGATTACAACAGCTGTATGGAGTCTAGAGAATGGCGTGTCTTAGCCCTCCCTCCACTTTCCCTTCTCATTTCCTTTCCTCCTCCTCTTCCTCGGTGTTCCCAGAGCCATAGATGGTGGTGTGACTGACGTTTTTAGGTCAGGAAACACATACCTTACTTATTTTCTGCATCTGGCTCGGCATGAGTTTCTGCATTCACCGCTGCTTTAAAGATAAAAAAATAAGTTGTGTGTTTTATCTCAAAATACCTTTAGTATGAATCACAGAAGACAAACTTGTTTCTGGAACAGTAAAATGAGAAGATCACCATCTAGTGGTGAGAGCTGTGCACCTCAAGATGAACTCAGCCTTGGGCTGTTAGCAATGCGCTGACCGCTGAATTCGGATACACCTATTTTCCGAATCCAAGTTCCTGAAATGTCTCTCCCCAAGTCACAGTTGCAGCGTTTGGTTTTGGTTTGTCATGTTTCTGTTGGCGATGGGACCCTGGCATCTGAATTTAGCCTGTTATCGTTTGGTGTAAGAATGTAGCCCGGGAGGCTGGCAGTCAAGTCGAGGCTATGCTGTCTTTTCTCTGAATGTTCCAGAGCTCACTGTGGGGTCAGATACCGGGGTGCAGCGTCCTCCTGGATGCAGCTCTGGTCTAGGCTGGCTGCAAGCGTGTGTGGAGTCTGTGCAGAGCGGGTCCAGGGCAGCCTGACAGCTGCAGCTGTGTGGAAGAGGCGGGTCTCAGTGGAGCGGGGACACTAAACCGGAAACAGCGGTTGGGAGGATGTCGGACTTTAGATGAATGTACTGGGAGGATGGAGAAGTGGAAGGGGTTAAAGACGTGACGTAAACGGAAGCTGGGAGACCTAATGAGCGAGGACCAGGAAGTGGACTGAGGAGCTGCAGACAGCAGTGCCCGTTACCCATCCCCTGTCGCTGCTCCGGGTCCTGCACGGTGTAGAATCCTGTGCTGCAGATCTGGGTGCGGAGGGCACGGCGGGTGCCGCGGGGACCTGAAAACTCCGGAGCCGCAGTCTCCACGCGGGGCGGCCTGGGAAAGTGACAGTCAGCAGCGCAGTGGCGGGAACCGCAGCCCGGCGGCCCTGGAACCTCCCAGGTGAGAGGAGCTGCGGGGCTGGGACCCAGGAGGGAGGGGACCGGGGGTGCGAGCAGTTTCTCTGCTGTCCGTAAGGAAGTGGACATTGCTGTGGATGTCTTTCCCTTGTCGGAAATTTTTAGATCATAGGAACTGTACAAATTCTGATTCTTCTTTTTCATTGATCTTCACTGCCAAAATATTATTATAAAAATAATGTAATAGAATATTTGAATTCGTGTCTTGATATTTGCAAACACGGTTCTCCTTGCTACAGTGGAAAGGACAAAGCTCTTTAAATTCTTATTTGTTCAGGCTAACTTCCATGTTCAACCACTTCCTTATTCAACATAGTGGCACTTACAATTAGGGGACTTGGACTCCCGGAGAGTTTGTATATGCTTGTCATGAAAAGAATGCCTGCAAATGTAACTGAATCGGAAAATATAGTTTTTGCAAGCCCATAGATATGGATGTAAACATTAACATTTAAAGGTAAACTTTTTATCCACTATTATTTTATCATCTGAGAAGTATTCACTGTTTTATGTAAATACAGCATTCTGAAAAATTTGTCAAGTTTGTTTGCACACACCCTTAATCCCACCGCTGGGGAGGCAGATGCTGGTTGACCTCAGTGAGTTGGAACTCAGCACGGTCTCTATAGGGAGTTCCAGGACAGCCAGAGCTTCGTGGCTAGACCCTATCTCAAAAATAAATAATTAAATAAAAATAAAGAAAAGAAAGGGAAGGAAAAAAAAAAAAGAAGTGCGTCTTCTTGTGCTGAGTTCTTAATGTGCAACTGAAAAGGCACAGTATGCTTTTTTATAGTATTAAGCCACAATATTTTCACAGTTAGAACAGGCATTAAAAAGCACGTGATGGTAGTGACCACACCTTTAATCCCAGCATTTGAGAGGCAGAGGCAGAGGCAGGTGGATCTTGGAGTTCCTTACCAGCCTGCTCTAGAAAGCTGGGGCTACACAAAGAAACACTTATCTTGGATGGGCTGGAGGTGGGAGAAAAAAAGAATTGGAAAGGTATTATTGTTTATAGTAGTACTAGAAAGCATCTCTTAAATAATTAATCACTCATCTACATCAGAAAAATGTCTGCAATAGTTTTTTCTCTCCTTGGTCAAAGAAAAGCACTCTGTCCTAGATACATGACCAAACTGTTTTCTTTTCTTCTTTCCTCCCTCCCTCCCTCCTTTCCTTTCCCTTTCTTCAGTCTGTCTGTCTATCTTTTTTTTTGTGTTTGAGATCTGATTTCATTGTCTGTCTCAAAACTGACCAGATCAGTCTGGAGCTCGAAGACCCACCCACCTCTATCTCCCCATGTCAGACATTAAAACTGCTACAACACAACCTTTCTAACTGTTGTGTTTTATTTTGTGGTCTGATGACAGCCAGTGGTGTGGCTGGACTTTTCCCAGGAGGAAGGGCAGTGCCTGGACCCTGTTCATTTTGTACAAAGACTGGATGCTACAGAATTGCAGCAGTCTGCTTTCTGTGGGTGGAAATAGTTTGCTTGTCATCTCCCTTGCTCCTGCTCAGAGTTTTTTGACAAATTAAGCTGCATGTGTGTGTCCCTTTGAGAAGCATGAGGCTTCCATCATCTTTGGTCAGATAAATTCAGAATCTCACTAGTGTGTAATAGTCTCATCCCATTCATTTAGTCCTGAGATTTGACTGAGCTATGATTGGCAGTGGCATTCAAGTTACACTAACTGAAAATGCTTTCTAGATATGTTCAATATTGATACCGCATGGTAATTGAGGGATCATTTGTATAATCCTGTATTTAGTTTTCTCTTCCTCTACTGAGCACAGTACTGTATTAGAAATCCAGGCTACTGAACAATCTCTTTCTCATATGCAGGGTTCACTGATCACCCAGACCTGCTCACCTGTGCAACAGAACAAAGAGGCCTAAAAGGTAAAGAGGGAGGGGAAGTAGCTAAGGATGCAGGTATGGTGGAAAGGTTGATGAAGGGATGGCAAGGGCTCAAGGAATAGAATGGCTAGGTCATGTGCTTAATTTATTTAACTTGAGCATTGCTTAATTGATTATACTCCATATTGATTCCCAGAGTGGCTTGATTTCTGTCTGTGGCATTTTTATTCACTGTGCTTTTCTTCTTGATTTGTTGCTGGTTGGATTATTGGCAGTAATTTTTTTCCTTCTGTGTGAGAATTAGTGATTTGCTGTCTTGTCCATGGATGATTACTTCCCATTTCTCTGGGATTTTCTATTCTTCACATGAAATTTATTATTTCCCATATTCTCATTTGTAAATCCTCTGATTCTCCAGCAAAAATATTGCCTCTACTTATTGTCTGTCTGTAAAGCTGCTTTAGTGAAATCAGTTATGGTTACTCAAGACTATCTTGAAATGCACTTATGTCTCCATCAACTTTAAGTATTTTTTTTTTTTTGGATGTAATAATATTGTTGATGGTGATTTTCTCTTCAAGCTTTCTTTTCAAGTCTTTCCATGTTCTCCTGGATTTGGGATCATTGTCTGGACACCTAGTCATATTCTTTTCCTTGAGTCTTTTCATGTGGTTTAATATTGTTCTTTCACAGCTTTCAGTATTAATTCTTTCACTTTCTTTTTGATCCCTTAATATGAAAGGACAGCAAGTCATCTATTCCTTGTTCCTGAAAGAGAAACTTAAAGAAGAGAAAGAGAAAGAAATGGCTGATTCTCCAGTAAGCATGTCCCAGGTCAGTGGTCATGTCCACTACTTTTCTAGAAATGTTGTATATTCAGACATTCCAAGCCTTTAATTTTCTGCCTCTGATAATATTTAAAATTTTATTATGAAAAGTATGTTCAAACAACAATAAAAATCACTCACTGAAATTAACTAGACCTAAAATCTATACAACTAAATGTATGTTTATGCAGTTAGAGCTGTCATTGGGAACAGAAAGCCCTGCAACCTCACATGAGATTTTATATTTTTGCTATCAAATATATTTTTATGAACTTATCCACCACAAAAAAAGAAAGTCTATGACAGAATTAGAACTAGAAAGGCAATTAGCTTTATATTCTTTTTCATAACTGTTTTTCATTACCTGAATTCAGTCCTACCTCAACCTTGATATTTAACCTTTCTTGGTCTCCTTTCTCCATATTCTGCTGTGCCCACATGTATGTTTTTTCCATATATGCATATTGTTGGCTAGATTCTGCATATCAGGGCAAATATCTCACATTAACTTATGACCTGTAATTTTGAAAACATTCCCAATTTAACACATGAACAACAACAAAAAAAATGTATTGAAGCAAAATTCTGTAGAGGATGGACTGTTTCTATATTAGTGAGTGAGGGCTCCTGTGTCATGTAGGTTCTGTTTATGGTATCTGTCACATTTTGATTCATTGAAACACATGGAATAGTTGCCACAACATCTTAGCATATGTGGAATTAGAAGAGACATAGCTTGGTTTTTAGTGCTAAGTAATACTTGGATCGTACTATTAAACATTTAAGCACACTTGACAATGCAGAAAATGGTTTGACCTTAACATGAAACTGATGTTCTTGAGTATAGATTCAGATTGTAGTCTACTAGTATTTCTCTTTGGTATTTAATATCACAACAGTGATGATATGGCCTTGAGTTTGTTGACACTGGCCATCTGTTTCTCTTAGGGGAATTGCTGCTCACATCACTCACTTGGTTAGGATGCTCAGTGTTACCTTCTCAAACCACAGAGATCAGTTTTTTTGTTTTTGGTTTTTTGGGTTTTTATATATAAACATACATGTACATATACATAGTTTTGTTTTCAAGGCAGGATTTCTTTGTGTAGCTCTGGCTGCTCCTGAAAATAGCACCGTAGACCACACTGGCCTCAAACTCCCAAGTGATGGTATTAAAGTCATGTGCCACCACATCTAGCCTGAGATCAGTATTTTTCTCTTTTTCTTTTAGCCTCAAACAAGATACCAGTGTGCAGCCCTTTCTGCCTGGGTCTTAGTATCTGGAGTGCATCAAGAATAGTGTCTTGGGGTGTTGACTAATCAATGTGCAGAAGTCATCACATTTGACACAGGAAGAACATTCCTCATGATTGCCTTGCTCTAGTCAGCTCCTGTGAGAGGCATAGCTACAGGCCCCACCCTGAAGCTGCATTGTTTTAAAATAGAGATTTGGGGAATGGGCTCTGACTTGCAAGTTCGCATTTCCATCACTGACTCATGGCTCAGACAGAATGTATCACAACTTTACATTTCCAAAGAAATACAAGAAGAATCATGAACACTACTAACTTAAAATCTGTTAGACAATACGGCCTAAAATACTAAAAAGAAACACATTGACAACTACAAAATTCAGACACAGTAGCTCAGATTTTTCTCCTGAGCCATTCTTCTGAGCTACATTATATTTGCAAAGTACTGAAAAGTGACGATAATTCTCACAGAATTTAGTATATTCATTTACTAACAAGAAATCTGTGTCATTTCTGATTTCATCCATAGTTATTACACTTGTGTGTACATGTCTAGCTGCAACTTAAACATTGTTTGACGTGTTTTTAAATTTCCCTCAATTTTTACAACTCTTTTGAAGTGAAATATTTTTCAGATCTTCTGAAATTGTTATTTGTCTAAGTTGCATGATTTTTATTTCTAAAGAAAACTTTAAATTATATCAAATGTGGCTGGTATAGATTTTTCTATCTGCTTTCTAGTGACTCAAGTATTCTTATAAAAGTAATTCCATAGACTACTTGATCTCATATGTTGATCTTAAAATTGCCAGTAGGCAGTGTTGTTACACTGTTATTGTGGGAAAAACAAAAACAAAATTCTTTGCCTATAAAGCCAGTCATAAATTCTGCTTTCCATACATGCCCCTTTGATCTTTAATACAATGAAATTGGTACTAGAGTTTAAGCATTCCAACTGAGCCTGTTAGAATATAGTCATGTAAGGCAAGTACAGACAGAATTGATTCGTGTCGGTATTTTAGCATACTCTACAGGTCCATCATTT